GCCTCCCTGTTAGCTAACCAGACTCATGGTCTTTTCCTCTTCAGAGTCCTTTTGGATGCCTCAGAGGCCTGAATGTGCTGCAGGCCTGATGGTCCTGGCTGGGTTTCCAATCGGTTTCCATTGCTCAAGGAAGAGCACCGGAGGTGCTGTCAGCTCCTCTTGAGGGTGTCTTCTGAGCTGTATGGCCAGTACAGAGAGGATCACTGCCTTGGGGCCCACTAAAGAATGGCACCCGAAGGAACTCAATCACAAAATGGCCACCCACCACGAGGCATGGGCCTTTGAGGCCTTGTAAGCTGATCTCCTGGGGCCTCACATTGCAATTAGAGTGATCGGATTGCTGCCTTGCCAAAGGAAGATAGTATTTCCTATCTATCTAACAGCCTTGGTGGTTCAAATTGGGATCAGCCTAATTTGGTCTGTGGGACCATGCAGACAGCTGTCCATGAGATCTTGCGGTTTGGGGTCTCAAGAAGCTCGGGGAAGACTCGCACTGCCAGAACGAGCATGAGAAGCCGTCCGGTCCAATCAGCTCTTTACGAACCACGCACCCTGGTTTTAGGAGGCTGCGCGATGATAATTAGCCCCAGTAAGTGTTCGGGAGAGATGAGCTCACTTTCTGCTGATGTGTCCACACCGAGTTGAGGCAGCTGAAAAGTGGAGCAGAGCGGATCCCCGCTCTCCTCATGAGCTTTACCAGAGTCCCGGGATGGTGTTTTATCGATTCCTGCTTTTCTGTGTGAGGAACGCTAACAACTCAGAGTCCAGAGGCAATAGCTCTTATGTCCAAGAGCTGAGTCGAAATGCTGAGGCTCTCAGTGCAGGCTAGCCTTTTTATGGCAGACTCAGCTCAATGTCATAAGAGGGCAGAGTTATACCCAGTGCTGGACTCTCAAGCAGCATGACGGAGAAGTGCGAGATCTGACTTCCTGTCAGTTTTTACTACACAGCCAAAAATAAAGTACAGCACACTTTGTTCTTGCTAATACTTTATCTCTATGTGGAAACATGGCACAAACTGACCAGCAACAAAGCGCGAATAAGTCAGATCTGCTTGCTCAGCATTGTCAGCCACTAATAAAGCCACTCTAAAGCTCCACCTCCACCACATCCAGTAAAATTAGCCACATAAGGGAAACACTGCATTCCCCACACCCAAAATACACGCATGTAACGCTGCTGCCACTACCCCAAGTGATTTGCTGCTGAAAAAGGAATACACTGGCCACTTCAGATTCAAAATTAGCACCATTCTGATGATTGTGCATGTGCCGTCTTCATTCCTCTGCCAAGAAGCACTGGTCAGCTGTTTGGCACTAGTTCTCCACAGCGGCTCCCGCAGCAAGGTGGGTAAGTATCCCCCTGGAATGGCAGCCCTGTATTAGAAGGGCGCACAGGGCTTACACTTGGTTTGTTAATTGTATTTCCATTTTAAGTGTTTATTTTTCAGTTAATTAATTGTAATTATGAAAATATTGGCCATCCTTTTATATATACAGTGTAACATCTTTTTTATAGACAGTCATTTTCAAATCCACTTTCAGCTCTGCCTGTCTTGCCTGGTGAAACTTGTTCCTCTTCCATAATGCTAACATAGTGTCAGACACTCTTAAAAGTAACTGAATATTACTGATCTCCGCTCCTCGCCTACTTTCTTCACTTGCCAGTCTTCACCACTCACTTAATTTTTTGAAAGTTGCTCTGTCTAGGGACTGTGTGACCCCCCCCTCCCATCCCTGCTCTGATAGTGAGACCAATTAACCCTTGGAACAGAAGTTGCCTTCAGAAGTTGTGGAAGCTTCATCACTGGAGGCTTTTAAGAAGAGACTGGACTGTCATTGGTCAGAAATGGTGTAGGGTCTCCTGCTTGGGTGGGGTGGGGATTGAACTAGATGATCTACAAGGTCCAGTTGTTAATCTGTTAAAATAAGGAAAGGGGAGGAAACTGGAGCCTATACAGGCTGACCTGGTATTAGGAAAGCTGGCCTCCCCCCCCCCCTCCCTTCAGACAGAGTCCACTGGACAAATGGAAATTGGTCTGGAGAAGAAAAGCTGCTTGAATTATTTTAAAATAGCTGAAATTCAGATATTTTTTTCTCTTCTTGCTGTTATTTTGGGGTGTTTCAGAACATCCGGCTGGACACAACCCTACTTCATCATCGTATACTACACATACGGACTATTCAGAGGGCTGAAAAAAGTGAATTATAACCGGTACTCACATTTATGGCCAGTCCTCACATTTATGACCATCGCAGCATTCTTAACAACTGTGTCACTCATTTCACAACTGCGGTGCTTCACTTCACTTCACCACAGTGACAAGATAGGTTGTAAAATGGAGGTAAAACTCACTTTGAACAAACATTTCACTTAAGCAACAGAAATATTGGGCTCAGTTGTAGTCGTGAGTTGAGGACCAGCTGAGTTTTATTTCCTTACACATAGGGACCATTCAGAGGGCTGAAAAAAGTAAATTAAGACAGGTCGTCGCACTTATGACCGGTTGCACTTTTGACCTCACATCTAGCCATGTCCATCCAGTCACATGACCACCTAGCTACACCCACCCAGTCATATGACCACATAGCCACACCCACAGAACCGGAAGTAAAAAAAATTTGAATCCCACCACTGATTCAGTTGCATCCCTAATTGTGGTCTGAGCTTGCTTATTACTGATTGCTCTCACTCAATTCATCCGATATCCCAAGCATAGATTTAATGCTTATATAGGTAGTCCTCGCACTTACAACCACAACAGAGCCCAACATTTCTGTTGTTAAGTGAGACATTTGTTAAGTGAGTTTTGCTCCATTTTACAACCTTTCCTGTCACAGTTATTAAGTGAATCACTGCAGTTGATAAGTTAGTGACCTAGTTGTTAAAAGAATCTGGTTTCCCCATTGACTTCGCTTGTTAGAAGATCACAAAAGGGGATCCCATGACATTGGGACACCACAATGGTCATAAATATAAACCAGTTGCCAAACATCTGAATTTTGATCACATGATCATGGGGATGCTGGAAAGGTCATAACTGTGAAAAACAATCATAAGTCATGTTTTTCAATGCTATTGTCACACTAAATGAACTGTTGTAAGGTAAGGACTACCTGTACTCAGATAGTCAGATAACTTGTGTGTCTAAACATCTTATTCCAAGTATCCACTTATATTCATCCAATACTGCTCCAGCCCACCTTATCAACTGACTGTTGTTTTCTTACCAGAAAATTGTATGTGGAGGAAGGGGAAATAGAAGAAAATGCTTTCCTTGAGGTTTTTTGCATGAAAAAGGCGAGGACATCAACCAGTTGCTGTCCTCATTACTAAGGTAGAAAGGGCTTGGCAATCAGAGCAACAAATTATATGCTAGTATATTTTGCTGCTTCAAGAACTAAGGTTAGGGTTAGGGTTAGGTTCAGAAGTTCGACATTGCTATCTGGTTTTGCAGTTTCAGCCATACAGGTAGTCCTTGACCCACCCCAACTGCTCTTCTACATATAATCTGCAAAATTGATGTAACTTGTGATACATTATATTCTTATAAAAAGTGTGGTTCATTTTAAAAAGTGAGTTATGACCATTTTTCACATGACCATTGCAGCATCCCCATGGTCACATGATAAAAAATTCAAATGCTTGGCAACTGACTCATATTTATAACAGTTACAGTGTCCTGGGGTCATGTGATCCCCTTTTGTGATCTGGCAAGCAAAGACAAAAACTAAGGACAATTAATGAGTGAAACAGCTTGCCTTCAGAAATCGTGGGTGGTCCATCACTGGAGGTTTTTAAGAAGAGACTAGGCAGCCACTTATCTGAAATAGTATAGGTTCTCCTGCTTGAGCAGGGGCCTGGACTAGAAGACCTCCAAGATTCTTTCCAGCTTCCAAGGTTCTTTCCAGCTTCTATTCTATTCTATTCTATTCTGAAACCAGATTCACTTAACAACCCTGTTACTAACGTAATAACTGCAGTGATTCACTTAACAACTGTGGCAAGAAAGATTGTAAAACGGGGCAAAATTCATGTAACATGTTTCATTTAGCAACCAAAATTTTGGACTCAATTGTGGTTATAAGTCGAGGACTACCTGTACTTCAGTCTTGAAAATTGATATCTCATCCATATTTATACATACACATAAATGCCTGAAACACATTCAATCTTATCTTTCTTGCCCTTAGTGATTACAGGGGGGCTTTGTTTCCATCCAGACAAATTACCAAAATGCAGGTAGCCATGTATTTTCATACCAGTGGAGGGCATATATATTGGCCCATAAACACTGCAGTTTCATCCTTAGCAATCATGTTGGAGAGTTGGTATTTAGAAAAGTTGATGCCATCAACAAAGGACTTAAACACAAGTGCACATTTGGAAAGTTCAGTATCTTCCAGTTTGAACAGTGTTATTGATTTTCTTAGACACAGTTCATATTTTTGAAGGAATCCATCCAGCCAGTCTTGTGATGCTTTGAATTCTTCTCGGGATATTTCTAACTGTGGTGCCATTGCAAGGGCAAATGCTTGAATATCAGACCTGCATACAACCAAAGACTTTGCTCTCCTGTTAGCAATCTATTAACAGATGTTGCCTTCCAGTTCAAGAAATAAATGTTGCCAACCTGATCCACACTTGCGTTTCTTTGCATTTCTCTCGTGTACCTGTTGACTGAGGTTATTGTACTCTGCTCGCTATATGGTGATCCAACTTCTTCTCTGTGCAGAAAGCCGTAAGATACTTGTCCCAAGAGTCCTCTACAACAGGGATCCCCAACCTTTTCGACGCCGCGGCCCGGTTCCGGCGTCAGCTGGGCGCCGCGGCCCGGTTCCGGCGTCAGCTGGGTGCCGCCATCTTTTTTGACGAAAAATTGCTTTTTTTACCAAAAAAAGATGGCGGCGCCCAGCAACCAGCGGCCCGGTAAGGCTTGTTCCGCGGCCCGGTACCGGTCCGCGGACCGGCGGTTGGGGACCCCTGCTCTACAATTCTGTTCTTGAACTTGACAGAATAGCTCTTTCTTTTTGCACTCATCTTGTATGGGGGTCAAAATATAATTCCCTTTAAATCTATCATTAAGTCAGGGGTCTCAAACTTGATTTCATTGAGGGTTAGGTTTAGGAGTGGGTGGCTTGGCTGCAGGAGCCCTGAAGTAAGCTAATGTGCATATGGGGCAGCTCCATTTCCTCCTCACCTGCCTTACCTTGTCTTCCACTACCTCTTGCCTCACCTCATGGCCTCAGCACTGGTGTACCGCTCGGCCTCCATTGTGGCTGTGAGCAAGCAGAAGAAGTGGAATGGCAGCCATGCAGGGTCTTGCTGGAAGGGGCTGTTAGAGCTGTTGTCACAAGGCGAGGCAGGTTTTGCAGCGTGAATGATCTGGTTGAGGGGGCCCTGAGGTAAACCAGTGTGGGGCATGTGGGACAGCTCTATCCCCTGCCTTGCCTCACGGCCATGGCACCAGCACATTGCTCAGCCTCCTGCTCCATTGTGGCCACAAGCAAGCAGAAGAATTGGACCAGCAGCCATGTGGGCTCCTGTTGTAAGTGGCTGCTGGTGCTGCCACCACGAGGCAGTTGTTGGGGCATGGATGGCCTGGTTATGGGGGCCATGAGGTAAGCCAGTGAGCATGTGGGGCAGCTTCACCCCCTCTTCTCACCTCATATCAATGGCAGAATGGGCGACCAGCTGGCTGCCTAGGAGGTTAAGTAGGGCGTATTTTGGGAGCAGGGCTTATATTTGGCACTCATGCAAAAACCATGCTAGGATTTATTTTTGGGATAGCTCTTATTTTCGGGGAAACACAGTATTAGAATTTCAGAGATGAGTGCATAGCAAGTGATTGAATAATTTCCTTCTTCTTTTCTTTGTTCTGCTATTACCAATACTTTTTAGCCTGTTTGTTTCAGAAACACTCCTCACAGTTGCAGACGTGAGAAAACTTGCAACAAATCCAAATGACTAACCTAACAGATGATAATCAATGGACCTCAAATTCAACATTTTATGATTATACCCCAATAGAAACAAATTATTGCAATATGGATGAGACCTCCAGGTTCAGTGCTATGTTTACTTGCATCCTTTATTCTCTGATTTTCTTCTTCAGCTTGGTAGGAAATAGCCTTGTCTTGTGGATCGTGATGAAATATGAAAACCTCAAATCTTTAACAAACCTCTTCATCCTGAATCTTTGCATCACTGACTTGATCTTCTCGTGCACTCTGCCTTTCTGGATTGTATATCATTATTATGGATGGATTTTTGGTGATTTTCTCTGCAAAGCAGTAAGTGCTATCTTTTCTATCAGCTACTATGGTGGTGTCATCTTTCTCACTATCATGACTATCCTGCGGTACCTGGCTGTGGTTGATCCCTTATCAACCATGAGAACACAGACCAAAAAATGTAGCATTCTGGTGAGCATGACCATTTGGAGCAGCAGTATAATGGTTGCAGTACCTGAGATCATTTTTACTGAAGTCATAATTGATAACAATGGCAAACAACACTGTGAGTATGAAGAGTCATTCATCTGGAAACTAATAGAGATGAGCCTGCAAGTGACATTTTTCCTCCTGTCTTTTCTTGTTATAGTAGCTTGTTACATTGGGATGCTTAAAATTTTGCTTAGAACACGATCTCAAAGGAAGTACAGAACTGTGAGACTCATATTTGCTATTGTGGTTGTCTTTTTCCTGAGTTGGGCTCCTTACAATGCGTTTAACTTTGTGTACGTTTTGTCTATTCAACATGTCATCAAGCCAGAATGTCAAACTCGCAATCATATCTTTTTTGCTTTTGATATCAGTCGCAAAGTGGCCTACTGTCACTGCTGCATCAACCCAATCCTCTATGTCTTTGTTGGAGTGAAATTCAGAAGGCACCTAAAACTCCTGTACAAACAATTGTCCCCTTGTCATAGCAGAATCTCTCCCTCCAGCCCAAGAATGCATTCATCTCACTTGGGTCCATATGATGATGCATCCATATACTGAAGCAAAGATTCCTGGACTGGATGAGATGCAAAGCAAGACAACCAATATGAGAAGCTAAACAGAATAACTGACAAGCTCTCCAGTTATTCAAAGTGTATCTAATTTTTCTGGTTGTTTTCACTGAATTTTCTGCCTTACTAGCAAATTTTTTTTTTTTCCAAATAGACTATCAGATATTTTCTTTTGATTTAGCCTTCTTTCAAATTAGAAATGAAAGGTGCACTGTTTTATGTAATGTCAATATATTTATGTTTTTAAGATAGTATAATGGTTTTAATCTTTGCAATATTATAATGATTTACAAATCAATATACTGTTATGTAGAACTTGACCTGCTAACATTATTTGAAATGTATGTTGAATGAGAAGAATTAAATTGTCCAAAGGCATGAACTGCCTTCTAACCTTAATGGATTTAGAGAAAGCATGATGACATAAAAATGGGAAGACTGAATGCATATAGGATAGTTATAAATAGAAGATAATAAATAGAACTCCTCTCCTCCAATTCCATTAAGATTCAGTGAAAGAAATAGATTTATTTCCAAATGAGAATATTTTCTTAAAGCCTCTTAAAATTAAATCTGATAAAGAATTAGCCACAAATATATAACATGATTGAAATGTGCAATTTATTGATTCTTTAATAGGCTTGTCAACCTGAAAGCATTATAATATTTTAAAATCAATATAGTCCCAAAAGTCCTCAGTGATCCTTTATACATGACGAATAGTCATTAACCATTCTTGAATCCATAACAATTATATATTTTGAATTATGATTTTTATTAATCTCAAAATCTATAATTATTTAATATTTATTTCTGTCATTAATAATTTATGTCTTTATGATTTCTGAAATAATTTCTTTCTTGTATTACCCATAAGTGAAATGCTGATTTGCCCATCTTCCTAATAAAGTTATTCATAAGCATGTGTGATTTTAAAGACTTTTAAATAGCTACCTTGGCAAAACTATTTCCTCATCACAATTACTGACAATAGCATTTCAACCTAAGTAAGAATGTAGGATTGTATTTCATACTTCAAGACCTAAAAAGCAAAACAGTTTATTCTGGGAAGAAGCAAAATTCACAAAAATTAAAGGTGTATTTCAATCAGGCTTATAGAAAACAATGTACATTAGAAAGTGTGATATGGTTATTTTATTCTATCTTGCTACAATTAAAATATTTCTATATATAACAATATGGACACCAGGGGTGAGATTCAAATTTCTTAACAACCAGTTCTGTGGGCATGGCCTAATTTGTGGGTGAGGCTTGGTGGTCATGTGACTGGGTGGACGTGGCTTGCTGGCTGGGTGTGGCTTGGTGGTCACGTGACTGGCTGAGCATGGTTTGGTGATCACATGACTAGTGGGGTGTGGTTTGGTGGTCACATGACTGGGTGGGTCAAAAGATAGAAACTCACTTTAACAATGCTCTAACAATGCGGGGTTGGACTAGATGACCTCTGAGGTACCTTCCAGCCCTGGATTGCTGTGCTGTTTCAAAGCATCCTCTGAAGCGTCTAGTGCCAAGGTTTGTGGTCCTTCCTTCCTCTCCTTTTTCTTGCCCTCCCTCCCTCCCTCTCTCTATCCATCTGTCCATCCATCCATATCTCATTCACATTCCTTTCCCTTCCCTCTTTCTCCCTTCCCTCCCTTTCTTTCTTTCTCTCATTCGTCCCTCTTTCTTTTTCTTCTGCCTTTTAAGAGAAAGAAAGAAAGAAAGAAAGAAAGAAAGAAAGAAAGAAAGAAAGAAAGAAAGAAAGAAAGAAAGAAAGAAAGAGAGCTACCATGTACAGGTGAAACTTGAAAAATTAGAATATCATGCAAAAGTTCATTTATTTCAGTAATGCAACTTAAAAGGTGAAACTAATATATGAGATAGACTCATTATTTGCAAAGCAAGATAGTTCAAGCCGTGATTTATCATAATTGTGATGATTATGGCTTACAGCTCATGAAAACCCCAAATCCACAATCTCAGAAAATTAGAATATTACTTGCAATCAATAAAACAAGGATTGTACATATAACAATATTGGACCTCTGAAAAGTATAAGCATGCATAAAGTATAAGCACTCAGTACTTGGTTTGGGCCCCTTTTGCAGCAACTACTGCCTCAATGCGGCATGGCATGGAAGCTATCAGCCTGTGGCTACTGCTGAGGTGTTATGGAAGACCAGGATGCTTCAATAGCGGCCTTCAGCTCTTCTGCATTGTTCGGTCTCATGTCTCTCATTTTTCTCTTGGCAATGCTCCATAGATTGTCTATGGGGTTCAGGTCAGGTGAGTTTGCTGGCCAATCAAGCACAGTAATCCCATGGTCACTGAACCAGGTTTTGGTGCTTTTGGCAGTGTGGGCAGGTGCCAAGTCCTGCTGGAAAATGAAGTCAGCATCCCCATAAAGCTTGTCTGTGGAAGGAAGCATGAAGTGCTCCAAAATCTCCTGATGGATGGCTATGTTGACCCTGGACTTAATGAAGCACAATGGACCAACACCAGCAGATGACATGGCTCCCCAAATCAACACAGACTGTGGAAACTTCACACTGGACTTCAAGCATCTTGCAGTGTGTGCCTCTCCATTCTTCCTCCAGACTCTGGGTCCTTGGTTTCCAAATGAGATGCAAAAGTTGCTCTCATCAGAAAAGAGGACTTTGGACCACTGAGCAACAGACCAGGTCTGTTTTTCTTTAGCCCAGGTAAGACGCTTCTGACATTTGTTGTTCAGGAGCGGCTTGACAAGAGGAATACAACATTTGAAGCCCATGTCCAGGATCCATCTCTGTGTGGTGGCTCTTGATGCACTGACTCCAGCCTCAGTCCACTCCTTGTGAAAGTCCCCAATGCTTTTGAATGGCCTTTTCCTGACAATCCTCTCCAGGCTGCAGTCATCCCTGCTGCTTGTGCACCTTTTTCTTCCACACTTTTCCCTTTCACATAACTTTCTATTAATGTGCTTTGATACAGCCCTTTGGGGACATCCAACTTCTTTTGCAATTACCTTTTGAGGCTTTCCCTCCTTATGGAGGGTGCCAATTGTGGTTTTCTGCACAACTGTCAGGTCAGCGGTCTTTCCCATGATTGTGATTCCTACTGAACCAGACTGAGAGACCATTTAAAGGCTCAGGAACCCTTTGCAGGTGTTATGGCTTAATTAGCTGATTAGAGTGGGACACTTTGAGCCTAGAATACTGAACCTTTTCACAATATTCTAATTTTTTGAGATTGTGGATTTGGGTTTTTCATGAGCTGTAAGCCATAATCATCTCAATTATGACACATTATGGCTTGAACTATCTTGCTTTGCATGTAATGAGTCAATCTCATATAAATAGACAGATCAAACAGATAATCAGAGTTGGAAGGGACCTTGTAGGTCATCTAGTCCAACCCCCCGCCCAAGTGGGAAACCCTACACCATTTCTGACAAATGGCAGTCCAATCTCTTCTTGAAAGTCTCAAGTGATGGCACTCCCACAAATTCCAAGGGCAAGCTGTTCCATTGGTTGATTGTTCTCACTGTTAGAAAGTTTCTCCTTATTTCCAGGTTAAATCTTTCCTTGTTCAGTTTCCATCCATTATTCCTTCTATGGCCTACAGGCGCTTTAGAAAATAGCTTGACCCCTTCCTCCCTGTGGCAGCCCCTCAAATATTGGAAGACCGCTATCATGTCTCCCCTGGTCCTTCTCTTTACTAGACTACCCAAGCCCAGTTTCTGCAACCGTTCGTTGTATGTTTTAGCCTCCAGTCCCCTAATCATCCTGGTTGCTCTTCTCTGTATTTTTTCTAGAGTCTCAACATCTTTTTTATAATGTGGTGAACAAAACTGGATGCAATACTCTAGGTGTGGTCTTACTAAGGCTTTATAGAGTGGTATTAGTACTTCCCTTGATCTTGATTGTATCCCTCTGTTAATACAACTTAGAATTGCATTAGCTTTTTTGGCTGCTGCTACACACTGCTGGCTCCTATTTAGCTGGTTGTCCACTAAGACTCCAAGATCCCTCTCACAGTTACTGCTATTGAGCCTGGTTTCACCCAATCTATATGTGTACTTTTTGGTTTTTCTTGCCTAAGTGTAGGATTTTACTTTTCTCTACATTGAATTTCATTTTGTTAGATATGGCCCAGTGTTCTAGTCTGTCAAGATCCATCTGGATCTTGAACCTACCTTCTAGGATATTAGCTATTCCTGCCAGCTTAGTATCATCTGCAAATTTGGTAAGTTCCCCTTCTATTCCCTTGTCTAAGTCGTTAATGAAGATATTGAAGAGTACTGGGCCTAAGACAGAACCTTGTGGCACCCCACTGCTTACTTCCCTCCATGTAGACTTAGACCCATTAAGGACTCGTTGAGTACGGTTTGCCAGCCAGTTGCGAGTGCATCTAGTGGTGGTGCTATCTATTCCACTTTTTTCTAGCTTACTAAGAAGTAGGTTGCGGTCTACTTTGTCGAATGCCTTGCTGAAATCTAAATATACCCTGTTTCTCCAACAATATGGCCTCCCCCAATAGGAAGTCCCAGCATGTTTTATAGGCATGAAATGAAATTAAGCCCCTCCTCCCAAATTAAGGCCTATATTAAAACATGCGAAATGGGGGGGAATGGTGGGGGGGGGGCTTGCCGTTAGGAAGTACTTTTGTTGCACACCCGGATATGGTGCTGCCTGTGTTGACCCCGATACGAAGTGCCCCACCAACGCCGAGGTCAACATCCAAGCTGTCGCCGCCTGCCCGAAGATGCAAGGGGGGGGAGAATTAAGTCACCCCCGAAAAGACGGCCTAGCCATTTTTTCAGGGCTCAAAAAAAAATAAGACCCAGCCTTATTATATGAGAAACACGGTATTATATCCACAATACTTTGCTGGTCTACTAATTTAGTCACTATGTTGAAGAATGAAATAAGATTGGTTTGGCATGATCTGTTTTTAACAAACCTGTGCTGACTGCTAGTAATTACTTTACTTGTTGTAGATGTTGGCAGATCTGGTTTTGTATTATCTTTTCCAGTATCTTCCCAGATATTGATGTTAGGCTGATTGGTCTATAGTTTCCTGGGTCTGTTTTATTTCCTTTTTTGAAGTTGGGAACCACATCAGCTCTTTTCCAGTCCTCTGGTAGTTCCCCGGTGCTCCAGGATTTTTGAAAGATATAGTGCAGTGGTTCTGAGATGACCTCTGCCAGCTCCTTTAAAACTCTGGGATGTAATCCATCAGGCCTCGGTGATTTGTTTTCATCAAGATCAGACAGGTGTTCTCTTACTATTTTTTTTGCTTATTTTAACTTTTATTTCTGGTCTGTCTTTTACAGTTATGTTTTTGTTGGGTTGAGCTATAGTTTCTTTTTGCGTGAAGACGGATGCAAAGAATGAGTTAAGCAGTTCTGCTTTCTCTCTGTTGCCTGTTACTTCCTTGCCATCTTCTCTCTTTAGTGGACTGACTGTTTCCTTGATTTTTTTTCTTGTTATTTATATGTTAGAAGAAACTTTTTTTTATTATCTTTGACTTTTGTTGCAAGTCTTTGTTTGTTCTGAGCCTTTGCTATTCTGACTTTGTCTTTGCAGATTCTGGCTATCTGCTGGTATTCTGCCTTAGTTGTATGTCCTTCTTTCCATTTTTTGTACTTGTCCTTTTTTTCTTTCAATTTGCCAGAGAGATCTTTGTGCAGCCATGCTGGTTTCTTCTTGGATTTCTTGTTTTTCTTTCTCAGTGGTATTGTGCTGGTCTGGGCTTCTATGATCATACTTTTTAGAGTTTCCCAAGATTCTTGAGTTGTTTTCCCCTTTAG